TGGGAGGATTTCAGGTGAAGGGCTCTTGCTCCCCTGGAAGGCAAATGCAGAGGGACACTGAACTTGGTCAGGAGCAGGTTATGGCCTGGAGTTACTATTTACAGTTTCCTCTAAATTTCTCCCAAATTTGCTGACTTGCACAGTCACGTGTCAGAAGCAGTTAACTGGGTCTGGTGACTTCCCTGTCCATTTCCTCATTTCCCATGGGCCGTGGCTGCTGCTGTTGCAGCACCTGCACACGTTTCTGTTCCCAGGAGAACATCCCTGGTGGCATCAGACCAACTGGCCTGTCTCTGAGTACATTCAGATGTTCACAATCTGCTCTTCTGCAGCCTCACAGAATATAATTAATACGGTCAGGCTACGTATTTTTCCTTGATGGATTTCCAAGGCTTTATAACAGCACTTATTCATGCCACCAGCCTGAGAAAGAGAATGCTCTATAGAGACCTTAGAACTCCTTTCAGTATATGAAGATTTTACTAGAGACTGGAAAGGAACTTCTGACATGGGCATGGAGGGACAGGACAACAGGGAATGGCTTTAGACTGACAGAGGGCAGAGTTAGATTAGATATGAGAAATAAAATCTTTATTGTCATGGTGTTGAGGCATAAGAATGGGTTTCCCAGAGAAGCTGTGGATATCCCATACCTGGAAGTGTTTAGGGCCAGGGTGGATGGGGCTGTGAGCAAAGAAGTCTAGTGAAAGATGTCCTTGCCCATGGAATGGGGCTTGGATTGGAATGATCTTTCCGTTCATTTCCGACACAAACCAGTCTGTGATCCCATGATTTATCCTATAGATCCTGAGGGCACATCTCAGTCTCTGTTTGCCACTGTACAGCCACTGCTGAGTCTGTGTTCAAACAGGATCCCAATCAGCCCAGAAAGAACGTTTGATGGAGGCAGTTTTCTCCCCTTAGGAATGGATAAAGGGATTTTAGGGGATGGATACAGGAAATAAGCTGGAGGAAAGATGCTGATTTACATCATTATTAATGGGGTGGAAAAGGGACTAAAGATTGTTAATAATTGTTGTCCAAGAATAAGAAATGGGCATGACAAAAGTCAGGGACTCTAAGAAGGGTCCCTTGTTCTGAGCTGCACTTGGAGCCAAGGTAAAGGGGTCTGGTAATATTTTGTACACATTTGCACTAAAAGCTGCAGGGACCATGATTATTTAATTTGAATTCTTCATTTCTACACAGATCCCTAGTCCCCAGCCTACATGCTCTGTGCTTACCCTATATCTCCTTGAATCCCAGGGGTTCGGTTTCTCTAATGCAGCTGATACTCCTCCTGTACCCCAGTAAAAGCAACAATGGGAAGCAGAAGGATTTTACTCCTTGAGCTCTCCAGGTATTGGGGTGATGGGATTCCATGACTCTAGTTTGAAACAGCATGTGATGGGCATTTTTGAAGAAGAAGAATAGCAGAGTGCTGAGCTTGATGTCCAGGCAATCCTTATTGGTCCTCTGCTTTTAACCAACTTATTGTGGCAGAATTCCAGGACTGTTATCCCTATGTTAGTGACACTACATTTTTTGGATGCACTAAGGAAAGTTTGCGCATAATAATTACAACTGTGGACAAGTGGAAAAGTTTGGTTTCCCTTCCCACTCCTCATTCCTTCACAACTAAACTGGACTCATTTGCCTCCACTTCCAAAAGTCCAGGAATACTGTAACAAAGAGCTGGTTACTACAATCACAAAGTAGCAGAAGCCATGGATATCTCATCATACCACTGGGATCTACAAGCTCATGGTTTTCCATTTCACTTCTTTTTTATAAAATTTGTGCTCTGCCTTTCATGTCTGTTTAGGCAGTGCCTATGTGTTCTCCACAGCTGTGCACTTCCTGGATGGAGAAGTGCTGTGAGTGATGTTGAAGGAGCTCTGCTGCTCATTGATCCAGCTCCCATGGGGTCTGTTCTGTAAGACAAACCTTCATTTCTTCAATCTGTAAAAAATCCTATTGGATCCTCCAGTCTTCTCCCAGCTGGGAGCTCAGAGATACACATGAAGTACTTCTAATAAGATTTCCGTGTCATACTTGAAAAGAAGCAGGACTTGCAACACTTCCCTAGAGAAATAGTTCCAAACTCCAGATCTGGCTTCCCCACATGGATGTTCTCCTGATTCCCACCTCAGTTTTCTTTCTATCAGAGGCTACAGGCAGCAGTCCAGTCTCATTCTCAAGGCAGGGCAAGCGGGAGGTAGCTGAGCAACTGCAGGGAAATGGAAAAACCTCTTGTGACTGCAGCACTGCAGAAAGGGGAATCGTGCCTTTAGCACCTCAAAGCTGATTCCTTTCTCTTTTGCGCTTCCCATGTATTTCACAGGCTTGCTGTG